CAAACCAGAAGCCTAGATATCGACATGGGGACAGAGAACATTATGAATGCAGGCACCCTTTGAGCCTTTTCGGGAAAGCAGAAGTGACATGTCTAAGGGGGAAGTGGACAGACCCACCTGAGTGCAAGGGTAGGTGTCTCATTCTCCCCTCCCAGTCTCTGTGCAGCTTCTGTAAGCACTTGGTTACTAGACTCCTGTCCAGCTGGCCTTCATTGGTTACTCAGGTTGGTTGCTCTATCATTTCCTGTAAATCGGTTTGGGGCCGGGAGGCGGTGAGTGTAGCTCCCACCTACTCCGCAGCTCCCTTAAAATCAACTACTCACTCAATAAACCAACAATATCCTCTCTTAGAGTCCGCAGGAAAATGTAAGCCCCCTCCTGCTATTGACAATGGAGATATTACCACATATCCATTAGCAGTCTACACTCCCGGGTCTTCAGTGGAGTATCAATGCCAGGCCTACTATGAACTTGAGGGAAACAGGAGAATAACGTGCCGTGATGGACAGTGGTCTGAGCCACCCAAATGCTTAGGTAAGTCCTTTAATTTCCTCGTGGACCCTGGGAAATCCGTGTAATGAATGTCATGTTTGCTGTTTGCAACAGAACGTGCATGGACAATCACCCCTTCTGTTGACTACCAGATAGTCATGTCTGACGGTATAAAGTCTGAAAAGTTCTTGAGCAACAACAGCAAGAAACTATCATTTTTCTTTAATTTATTTTCCCCAACACCACTTATGCCCCCTCCATCCTCATGCATCTCCACCACCCACTTCAAGAATTCTTTAATGAAAGCCCTTCATAGCATAGTTGACATTGTGAATGTTGATTATAACATGAAATAACCACACATTCCACAGAGTGCCTTATTTCTTCATCATCAATAATTTAAAATGAGTTATAGCAACATGACGGATTTTCAATGAATTGTTTTGGAAAAGGGTTTGAGAATAAATTCCTGGATCTGTGTAGAATTTTCTACATGAAAGTGTAAAATTCTGGAGAAAATATTTGTATACTGCCTAAAGTTTTATGTTCCTTTTTTTTTTTTTTACCTTCAGATGCATGTGTAATATCAGAAGAAATCATGGAAGCACATAAAATAGAGTTGAAATGGTTAAATGCGAAAAAAATTTATTCTAGAACAAAAGATTATATTGAATTTAGGTGTCAATATCCCTATGATGAAGTGTCACCAACATCTGCATTCCGAGTACAATGTCGAGAAGGAGAGCTACAGTATCCCAGTTGTGCATAAAATGAGAGCTGTGTGGCAGTTTTCACATTAAAATATGCGCCTTCATTCAGAATTTGTTAATATTAATCTGATTCTTCTCAATATATTTTTCTAGTAGGCTGTAACTCACTTGTATTCATTAATCACAATTTCTGTTAAATGCCATGTGGGAGATGTCATTGTAATCTGAGACCAACGGACCACTTCTCATAAGCATCTCATTAAAATGTGACAAACCAACATGCTGTGTGTTCTGTTCATGAAACGTCTCTGGCCAGAAAGTAGATGCCATCTCTCCCCTCCCTACGCCCCTCACCACCCTCCCAACTTTCTCAAAGCTTCTCCACAGCTGTGGGGGGTTTTGAGACTCTAACTTCAGAGGAAAAGATAAAAAATGCTTGTCTCCATCTTCACCTTAAAGTCACTTCACAAACACGTCAAAACCAAGCTGTGTCACAGGTTACAAAATGCTTGTCTCCATCTTCACCTTAAAGTCACTTCACAGACACGTCAAAACCAAACTGTGTCACACTCATGTTGGCAACAGGTGGTAGAGGTTATTACTTAGTTTTGCTTATCTATCCATGGCTCACTATACCCCAAATGATGAAATGCAACATCTACTATCCATCTAGCTCATACAATCATTCTTACAGGTGATAAGGAGGTATTAGATTCTAATCAGGGGCCTAGCTGTTGTAACAGGGACATGAAAGCTGATAGAAATAAAATACCGAGTATAAACACGTAGAACGCATTCACCCAGTGTGCTGTGAAAAGTGAGCCAATGTTCACAGAACAGAGACTGGCAGGAAACACAGTGAAACACCTACCATAACTACAGTTCCATTTAGATATAATAGGCATGGGCATTGGGGTTCAATTCCTATACCCTCCCATTCTCTATCTTTAACATATATCACCTTTGAGCCACACGAATATGTTAATTTAAATTCAATACATAAAAAAAGTAAGACAACACATGCTGAGAAGTATAAAGAACTCTTTATGATGATGTGGGCAGGTGGTCGGGGTAAACTGCCGGAAGTGAAATTCATGGATCATCAAGCAATTCCATAGGCATATCTACTGCTTTGCACAGGGGCTGTGGTCACCCTGTTAGATGGTTTCCCTCTTTGGTAGATAGAACATGGTACCTCGGTGTAGCTTAAGGTGCATTTTGTTAGGAAAGTGCTTCTTTCCATTGAAGATATTTAAGGACCCTTTCTTTTGGGTTTTTCTCGTTAAGATACCATCATCACTTTTAATTTCCTCTTCTGTCATAGAAATTAAAGTATTTTCCAAGTCGTTAACTGATTTCCGAGCTCATGTTAATTTTTCCAGGCAGACCTTTTTAAATTGTATGTTCTTATAATTACTACTCATTCTGTGCTTACTCTGTGTGTGGGTGTGTATTTCCGGAATCCCTTCTTACCATTGGTTAAGGTGTTTATTATTATGACACTTCCACACCATGATAAACGGAGAATATTTGTTATAACTATAGATACTTAAAAATGAAACTTTCCAATTTAGTTCTCTTTAAACATGAATTTTAGAATCATGTTGTCAGGGACATTTAATTTTGGTTAAATAAGAAAATTTTTCTTGGATCAAATTGAAAGCGTGACTTACTTGTGAAGAACAGACATCTTAATGATAGGAAGTCTTCAA